GGATGGATGTCTATAAAATCATGAAAATAAAATTTCTATTCATTTATGACAGGGCTGCTAAGTGAAATCCATATAACCCATTTCTACATAAAGAGATTAGTACTCCAGGTAATGGTTATTTTTAACCATTTAGACATGTTATACTAACACATCATCAAAACTGGCAGGTTTTCTTTACCTTCACTGGGATTTTTTGCCTTTAGACTCCTCAACTATACTTGACAACTTCCTGTTTTGGGAATGAGAAGACATTGTCCACATTTGCATTTCTTTGAAATACCTGACTTTTTGTTGTACATTTTCAACTGCTTTCTTTTGGCTATTAGTGTTTAGTTATACTATGTCCTAAAGGCCACTTTATTTTCAGACATTTTTTAAGATTCCATATTCAGGATTCATTTAAGTATAGAATTGTAGTTCTTGGCACTCAAGATATCCAGAAAGTAAAAGCTCCAATCTCATTAGGGAAAACTGCACAGGGTGTCTAAAGGCCTTTATTAAACCTTTCTCAATCCTCAGGCACTGCAGCATGCCCTACTTGCCGCAGCTTCAGGCAGGTGACTGCCTCAAAGGCTGGGGTAGATTTTACAGCCCATCATGGAAGAATTAAAGAACAAAACCCTGAGCTCCTAGAGCCAGGAATATGTTTGATAGGAGCTAGCATAGTGGAAGTTCTGTGTTCCAGAGAAGACTTTTTAAAAGCATACTCAACCCCAAATATAAATGTTTTATTTCTGCCATAAAGCCAGTTTACAATTTCAGTCCAACACCACAGTTAATAGAGACAGGAGTAATTGTGGCTACAGAGCACATAAAATGAAAACTTTGCTGATTCTCTAATTTTTATAAAAGCCCAGACACAAGAAAGCAATCTTTATAACATGGTATAGCTAAACACTGATAACAAACAAATGAAACCTTAAATTTAACAAGATTTCAATTTTCATCTCTAAAATTTTTAAACTACATTATTAAAGAATTCATCCATTCTCTAGAGCTACAGTGCCCAGTATTGCAGCCATCAGCCACATTCAACCATTGAGCATTTGAATGCAAATAGTCCAAATGGAGATGTTCCATAAGTGTAAAAGCCACACTGGAGTATGAAAACTTAGTGAAAATGAGCTAATGTTGTGCTCACTTTGAAATAATACTTTTGATACATTGGTTTAAATAAAGTATGTTATTAAAATTAATTTTACCTTTTCTTTGTATTTTACAAATATAACCACTGGAAAAGTTTAAAGTGCATTTGTGGCTTTGCTTTATATTTTTATTTCTTTAGAGGCTGAAACTGCATCAGTGTAACTATGCTGGAGTTCGACCTATTTATATTTTTGTCAGTTGTCATAGTTCATTAGTCACTAGTTCAAAGTGTATAATGTGGGTTCAAATACTTCCGAATGTATATTTTTGTTTACTTCACCCCATTCTAGTGTTAAACATTTTCCTCTACTGAGAACCACTTTCCCACTTTGCCTACTTGGAAAATTCTTCTTACCTTTTAATAATCAGTTGAAGCATTATTTTTTCAGTAAAATGTTCTTTGAATTCCCTCATCTCACACCTGTACCCCAAGTAAAAAGAAACACTCTGTCCTCTGGGATATGACAATATCTTGCCCCAAATCTACTGAATGCCTATGGTTTGCTGAGCACAGGGATAGCTAGTAGAAGTATGCAAATGTGAACAATAGAGAAATGAACCCTGTGCCTGTAGTACTTGCCTTTAGAGTGGAATGCAGACAAGTCAACACCAGGCACAAATTGATACAAAAAATGCTGTAACAGGACAGATTCAGGGAGCACATCATAAACATACCTTTCCCAGGCTACTTCTTTGTGGTAGATGAACATATTAAGCCTGCACTGTAAGTATGTGATCCCAAGGAAACCCTTGGTTTATAAAAATACTCTTTTTTAGTATATAAACTGAAAGGCATTTTTCCCCCCACTTCATAATTGGTTAAAATGAGAGCTATCTCCAAAATACCTACATATTACTGGGAGAGGGTTGGGAGACTGGGTAAAAAAGGTAAAGGAACTGCCGAGTACAAATTGGCAGTTACAAAATAGTCAAAGGGATGGAAAATACTGCATAGGGAATACAGTCAATAATATTGTAATAACTGTATGGTGTCAGGTGGGTACTAGACTTACCAGGGGGATCTCTTCATTAAGTTATATAAATGTATAACCTCTATGTTGTACACCTGAAACTAAAATAATATTAGATAGCAACTGTAATTGAAAAATAAAAAAAAACACAAATTACAAAATACAAATATCTGAATAGGCAATCTTATATTACACATATGCCCCAGTATCCCTGCAATGACTCTCCTAGCCAGGAAATTTAGGTATTGATTTTTTAAAAACAAAGAACAACAAAATGGCTACACTTAGCATGATTAAGTAAATATGAATTCTGTAAAATGTTTGCACTTAATTTAACATTAATGTACTATCAAAAAAAGGTCAGGATTTCAATAATTAGATTTCCGTGAAGCTCAAAAGATAGATAAATAATAAGAGGTGAGTAACTTTGTTAAGTCATCTAGCATATAGCAGTGGACTTCTTAACACTAGTATTGGAGGGCAAGACAGGTAAGTGTAAAATTCACAAGCAATCTCGATGATCTAAACATGAGTTAAGAAGAAAAAAAATGCTTTTAAAGCAACGTTTGAGCAGTCCAAATATCTGTCCCAAAGTCTATGCACTAAGGTTCATAGGCCTTAATTCTTGGTGAGCACAAGTTCCTTATACAGAACAGATTTTTACTTTAGATTGAACTCTGGAAAGTGAGGCTCTCTGGATTCCCAGCCTAGAAGCTGCCAATCAGAAGAGGAGGAGGAGGTTAGAGGCAGGCATGCTGGCAACAAAGGACAACAGATTGTTGGTTTAGTCATGTGGGGGGGAGAGAGATAGAAACTACAAGACAGAGATAATCACCAGGTCCTTGTGTCCTAGAGTCCTTCAATGCAGTGATTTGCAACTCACATACCTCCTGGGAACATCCCTAACATCAAGGAAGGAGCCTAATAGATGATGGGAACTTGATGTATTTGTTGAGTCTACTACAACCTACTATTATACAATCAATACTTTAAGTAAAATTAACCCTAAATATTTAAGAAAAAGCCGAATGAAGTCCAGTAAACTGCTTAAGAAAATAGAAACACTTATAATAGATTTTAGAACTTTGTATAACAATTAAAAACAGTGTTTTTAAAATGGGAGGGGGGGGCAAGGTTAAAATATGTACACACATAATAATTAAAAAAAATAAATAAAAATAAAGCATAAAAAAATAAAAGTGAGTTTGACTTCTTAAATTATGCTGTAACTGGAACAATTTGCTTTGGATCAATCCTGGGAAAATGATGCATTATAGAACAGATTTGTTACGTTACCTGGAGATTTCAAACTGTGGTATATGCAAATAAGCTATTATATTATCCGAGGTTTAAACTATATATGATAGCAACTCTCTGCACAGTTGAAATCACTAGAATGATATAAAATAATTGTTCTAAAATGTACCATTACCATTCAGCAAAATAGTTCTATTGATAGGTGCCCAGTACTGTGCTCAGTGCTGGATTTATTACTTATTTTTTAAAAATTGTTTCCACTTTTAAGATTATGAAGGTATTCCAAAGCTCTCACATTTTTAAAGGTTAAATGAAATTTTAAATACACAATACAGCCATTACATAACAGGCATAGAATACTGTTTTAGAATTTGGATAATATTTTTTAAAAGTCACTAAGCAACTCTTTTCAAAGAATAGAATTCTAAAGGATATAAAAACCCACATACAAGAATGGAGCGCCTCATTGCTCATTTGCTTTGTGTAATAAGTGTGTTATTTAACACGGGCATGCCATTTCAAAGCTAAGGCAAGGATGAGCTGCACTTTGAATTTTTGTATTAAGCGCAATTTCAGCGATGACTGACACTCATTTCCTCGGATAACCTTTTTCATGGCGAGTTACTAAAGGCTAGATGCTAGAGTCAAAAAGCAACCTGATATCTGGGGAAACACAGGGGGTGTCAATAAACCTAGGAAGCTGTGTTGAGGATAAGCTATTAGAGCAGCAAATATAAGAACGGAGAAATTATGGTTTCGGATGACTCTCTCCTCCCTCCACTTTCTCCCTTCACCAATCCATATCCCCCCACATCGGAGGCGGGTTCTGCAAGCTTCGGCTGCAGCAAACACAGAGGCTGCACAGAGCGGCCGCCCGGGCCTCGTGATGTAATTGTTGTTTCTGATTCGGAGACGGAGCAGCGGGAGCTGCCAAAGCGGCGGCAGCCCCGTACCCCGCTGTCCTGTGGGGTCACATCCCCTTCTCCCCGGGATGGGGAGGCTCCGCGGGAGCTTCGCGCAGACAAAGCGCCGGCCTGAGCCTTGCCCCTGGGGCTCCGTGCGCCCGAGGCGCCGAGCGGGCGCCCCGCGGCTCCCCCCACGATGCCGCCCCGAGTCCCTCCACGTTCACTCCGGGGCGCCCACTGCGTGCGGGGCGCGGGGTCACAGTGACCGGGAGTTGGTGCCGGTCCCCGAGATTAAAGCAGGACCCGCAGATTACGCAGAGGAAGTCGGGGTGAGGGAGCCCAGGGGGCGCGAGTTGTGCGGTGGAATGGGAGGAGGGCCGCCTGGGGCACCCCAAAGAGAGCCCGCGGCCTTTGTAGCCGGAGAGCCGCCCCGGGCCCGGGGAGGGGGGGGGGGCGTCCAGGCGCCGTGCGGTCGGGGCGGCGGGACCGAGCGGGGAGCCCGGGGGACCTCGGCGCTGAGGCACCCCGCTCCCCGCCGCCGCCCGGAGGGCGGGGCGGGAGGGGAACCGCACTCCCCGGCCGCGCGGCCCGGCGGCTCCCCGCCCCGGGGACAATGGCGGGAGGGGAGAAAAGGGTTAAGAAACTTGGCCGGAGCGCTGCCTGGCGTGGAGGCGAGGGGAGGGGCCGGCCGGGCCGGCGGGGAGGGCGGAGCGCGGCCGCGGGCGGGCGGCGGCGGGAGCGAGGCGCCGGAGCCGCGGCGCAGGCATTGCAGCAGAGCCCCGAGCGCAGGCGGCGGCGCGGCGGGGACGGCTCGGCCCACGCCCGCCTGTGGCCTCGCGTCCGCGCCGCGCTGAGGAGAGAGCTCGCCGGCGCCGGGGGAGTCGGGCGCGGCGCCTCCGCGGAGCGAGCCTGCCGGAGCCTGAGCCCGGGCGCGGAGCCGGCGCCGGGGTGAGTGCGGCGGCCGCGGGGTCCGGGAGCCGCGGCGCCGGAAGCGGCCGGGAGCGCGGCCCGCGGCGCTGGCGGGGGCGGCCGGGCCGCGGGGCGGCGGGAGCGAGTGCGGGCGGCGGGTGGGCTCGGCGCGGGGCCGCGTTCCGGGGAGTCCCGCCCCTCCCGCCGGCTCCGTGTCTCCCGGGAACTCTCGGGCCCGGGCGGCGGGGCCGGCAAGTTGTGCGGTTGCCCCGGGCTCGCCGCCGGCCCGTGCCCGTCCCGGGTCCCGGGTCGAGGGGCGGCCGCCGAGCGCCGCGCGGGCCGGGCGGCCGGGCCTGGGTCGCGGCGCTCCTGCCCCGCGGGCGCTCCTCGCCGCGCCGCCCGCTCCCGCCGCCCGGCTCCGGGCGCGCTCGCCGCCTCTCCCGGCGCTTCCCTGCTCGGTGCTCGCGGGGCTCCCGGTCGGGAAGAGCGAGCGGGAGAAGGGACGGCGCTGGGGTCCCACCGAAGCCCCCGGCCGGGTCCTCGGTTCTGGTCGCTGCCCTCCCGGGGCCAGGCTCCTTGGACCGCGGCCTCCACCATCACTTCACCCGAGCCAGGCTCGGGGCTCGCGTTCAGTGGGTCCTGGGAGGCTGCTTTTCTCCCCTCTTCCGTCAGTGTCCCAGTGAATGCTGTTTTATGAAGGGTGTCCCTGGAAATAGTCTACAAATTCTCCCATCTTTTCCAAAGTAGTTTCCAAATTTTAATCCAGTTGGTGTTTAGCCCGAAGGAACAAAGGAATCTACTGTGTCTTAGAGGTGAACAAGCTGGGAGTCTGTGACACATGTTGATCTCAGCATTACTGGAGTTTCTACCTTCTCGCTCCTCAGTGACTAAATTGGGTTTTGAAGATAGTAAAAGTACAGGATGATAAGTACTTTTGAGTTTTTAAAATATTGTTTTAATAGGACATTGTGTTTTTTGGGGAAAAATTAAGACCTTCCCAGCTACAAGGATTTTTACTCAGTTGGTGCAACTAAGTTGGAGATTGTCTCCAGTAATGTAAATGATTAAATGTGAGATTGTTCTGAAAAACTGTCTTTAGAGGAAGAGAGACCGTCTATAGGTATCCAAAGTAAAATGGTAACCGGGTTATATATATGATAAATGCTCTTTATATTAATATTATGGGGGGGCAACTGTGAAGTAAAGGGCTTTGGAAGTTTATTCTTTAAGGTTATGAATTGCATTGAACCTGCTCATTAGTGAATCATAGGCTTAGCAAGTGGGTGGCATCTTCCTGGTGTGATCATTCAACGTTTAATTACCAGCTTGCTACCTTTGTTGAAGAGACTGAATAAATGGACTTTTTAAACAAATGGTGCTTCGACTGCCTGGCACCTAATGTGGGTTGCTGCTTGTAATATGTTGAAATGTTTTTCAACTTCGAAGTAACATGCACTGGTTTTGCCCAGCCATTAGGTAATGGGGATTGGGTTTAACTGGTTCAGAGGCTAGTGGCTTCATGACCAATAGTAACTTTTCTCTGCCTGGAGTTAGTTCCTGGAGACAAAGAGGGGTCCAGTCAGCAGAACAGCTATTACCCTGCAGGCTGCGGAATTGTTACTCTAGTCTGTTGCATACATTCTCATGGGGAAAGACCCCTTTCCATACTTAATTCTGGAAGTGCCTGAGGTATGTGAGGGAAGAAAAATAAAAAATGAAGATACAGATAGTTGGTTTTACTCAAATGAATTCTCTATAGTGCCTGAGAAGTAGTTGAAAACCAGATTTTACACCTATAGGAAGACTTGCTTTAGACCCACTTGCATGTATCTCAGAACTATGCAAAACTTGGATTTTACTAATTTAAACACTCTGAAATATTGTAAGTTCTCAATAAAGAAGTGTTTGTAAAAGAAACTAAAGGCTCTCATGACTCTTGGAGTTTTAAGAGCAAAACATCCTGATAAAAAATAACCTATACCACCACCTAGAGTCTGTTTGTTAGTTTATTGCTCCTGAAGTTTGCTTAAATTGACATGTCTCTTGTGGTTCCAGTAGACCTAAAAATGATTAAGAAGCGCTAGCTTACAAACGGCAATCCAAGAGAACAAATATTTGTGTATTAAATAGCAAGTGCAATTTAAATGATCCATGCTACCTTTAGAATTGAAAGTTATGACATATTAAGTTGAGTGGGCTGTTCTCCAAAATATACTAATTCAGAAGAATTTAAAACAGGTATTCCTAGTTTGTGTCCCAAGATAGCTCTTATTGCTTAAAGACTTTCTGCGTTGTTACCAGAGATTCAAGAAATCTTCAAGAATTTAAATTCCATTCGGACTCCTTGAGGTCCAAGTAGAAACAAAAGCAATGATAAAGTAAAAATAATAAGGGAATGTTAAGACTCCAAAAAATTCTGTAAATCCAAAGGTAAAAGAGAAGGTAGACTATAGTAGAATTGTGGTTCAGAGATGTGAAAAGTAAAATCAACGTGAAATAAAGTGGTAATCTGCCTTGTTGGTAGTTTATAGATAACAAAGCAATCTGTTAAATGGGAGACCTTAGGAAGGCAGCCTGGTTGCCACGTGGCTTGTATTGTCCATGGAGGAAGTATAGCCCGAGGAGAAGAAGGCCTCCGGGATCTTTAATAAACACCAGTCGAACACAGAGAACTGGAACACCGTATTAATTCTGTCAAACATCACTATTTTAGAACATTGAGGACAACTAAAAATGAATTAAGTCATATCTGAAAGCAGAATTTTATGGAAGGTGACAGATGAGGTAAAACATGTCAATCCAGTGGAATAAACAGGGATACAAAGAGATGTCATCCTTGACTCGCTGGAACTACTAGAGGGAAGAACGTTAGTATTAATTATACAGACTCCATTGCAAGTCAGTACTAGGAGATGCTGGCATAGAAGTGATTTTCAACCAGAGTGGCTAAGGATATCTGACATTAAAGGAATTAGGTTTTTAATTTTAAAACTTTTAAGACTGTAAGAAACTTAAAAATAATAGTTTTGTGAATCAGGTTAAACGATAATTCTGCCCAAGATAAGTTCAAAACATCTCATTTTTATGAAGAAAATTTAATTAAAATTTTGATAGGTTCAGTTTGGCCTTTTAAAATTCAGGATTAGTTTTAAAAGTGTAGGTTAATAGAGAAGAAAGACTTTTAGTCTATGCTAAGCCTCTCTTTATAGCTCTGGTCTCCTTTTCTAAAATAAATAGCTGCTACAACTTTGGATGTTTTTGTCTATGAAAAGCCTTCCTCATTTGTTGCTTCTATTCCTGGTGGGGGGGGGGGGGGGTGAAGGTTCTTTATTCTTGTGCTTTTTCTATATGCCATTCCACGTGGCTGATACACAGTCAGCTTAGGTTTTGTTTTGTTTTAATAATGATTTACTGTTATATGGATGAAAATTGGGGGGGGGGGAAGCATCGCTCTTCCAACGAAGTACTTTGTACCCATGTCTTCCAACTGGAGAAATATTTTTATGAAAAGCAATTTTTTATTACTATTGAAAAGTTGAACATTTTTAACAGAATTGGAGGGAGGGACACTTTCAGGATAATGAGTTTAAAGGCATGAATTGAATTGCTCAAGATGCATATCCTTAAGTTGAATTTTTTTGAAGGGACTGTGGGGTTGGGTAGCAGACTCATTCTGTAGTATTTAGGTAACAACAATCAGAGAAATATAACACCAGGATAGTCACTAAGACTTGAGAAGGTAAAAATCAGGCATGCCAGATGATGAAGCAGGCTGATGGAACTGAGGATTATGTCCAGAGGTTGCAATGAACAAAAAGTAAATGAGAGAGATCTTGTTTCTGTATCCTGTTGGCATCTGATGCTGAAGCAGGGACATGAATTGCTGATGATAATGGATTCCCTTTTATAAGAGCAGCAATATTACATAAATAGTGGTTGAGGGGGAGCAATGACAGATTTCTCATTTGTGCATTGTACACTTTGTTTTTAAATTTCTCTTAAATATATCTAAAAGAGGATCAACATTGGTTGCCAGAATAGAACCAGAAATTATAGTTTTGGGGGAAAATGAATTAATATTAGATTCTTTTTTTTTAATTATTCTTTTTAAGATCTGGTATTTTCCAATGGTCTTATTTGAACATGGAGAACAGAATGCTGAGGTTTGGGTGGTTAACTGGAGAACTCTTTGATAGGATATCTGATAATAAGGTATTTTATGTAAATAATTACAGAAAGGATAGTTTTATTTTTTTCAAACTAAATATAAGGATTGAGATAAGTAGGACCTTATTATTAATTGCTGTCATTTATAGATAATACTCTGCATTTTGCAAATTCAAATGGATTCCTACACTATTTTACAAATAGTAAAAATAAAGCACTATAAAACTTGTGGTATTTTAGGAGCATAAGTTTTTTAAGATCGTAAAATATTGAGAAGAACAAGAATGAGGAAATTGTAAATGTGATACATTTTACGACTCTATTAGGTTTTTGTTAAAATTAATACTTTGAACCATGCTGGATATAACATTTAGTCTAGAACTCTAGAAGTAATATAGTGAGAAGCAAATTTGAAGAATTTAGAAGACTGGCAACTCATAGATATAGAAAAAAGTCACTTTTTGGAGATATGATGTAAAAAGGACTCTGTTTACTTAGTAGTATTAAGATATTTTTAAAAGGCTATAACAGATTTTAACATGGATTGTTCTTGAAGACAATTTTATAGATAATTACCTGTTAAAGAAATTATAACTCATCTGATTTGTTTTTTGGTAAAAATAAATTTAAGAAGAACTCCAGAATTTGTTGAAGCTTCAGCTAGGAAGGTGCTTGTGGTGTCTATCCATCCAACCAACCATCATCCCTCCCTCTCTCCTCAGCTTCTTCCCTCCGCATTCCCTCCTTCCCTCCTTCCCTTCCTCCCTTTTTGAATAAATAGGGCTAGAATAGAAAACATTTCGTTAAGAAACTTGGAACTAGAATTGCTTCTCTGGCAGGGTTAATATGTTTTGAATTCAAAGCTAATGTGT